TGCAAGTCTGAGAGTGCAAGTGCAAGGCTGCAGCCAGACCCTTTTGGACAGTTAGCAACAATCTTAGGATGCCCTAAGCAGCCTTTATGTCTGATAAATCAGAAGAATGTCTGAAATGTATTAAGGAGCTAGGCTATGAAAAAAAAAAAAAAAGAAAACCTTGCACCCTATAACTAACTGAGGCCAAAGAGGCCAGCACTGGTGTAACACTAAACTGTTTTTAGTTCCACCTGATTCTTGAAGAACCCCAGAAACACAAACAGAAGAATTGGGCTCAAAAACTTCCGTCCTTTAAATAGGAACAAAACCATTTGAGGTAGGGGAGCCATTTCCCCCCGCCCCCCATAAATATTTTTTGTTATACTGGTTGAAAGTCTCACAAAATATCACATCCTGATAGCAATAAATAATAACGTTATCTAAATATATATCTTCTGTGGAAGGCTCAGGACCATAAAATAAGTCCAATTATAGGAGCGAAGTAAACTCTACAGAACAAAGCTGGTTGCACTTACGTGTTCTGTTACAAACTAAACATAAAGAGTTAAAACATAAATGTAAAAAAAAAATGTGTATACATTTTAGGAACTAAATCATTTACCTGTTGAGAGTGGGTTGACAGTTTGTGTAGTTAGATGGTTGAGCTGCACAAACTCTGTAATAAGGTGGATTTGAGAGTTATAGATTTGAAAAACAAAAAGGTGGGAATAAAGAACCCTAAACTCTAACACGAAAGAAACATTTCAGCCTAAAAGAGTTCTTTAGGATTATATGTTTCTGAATAGAACTGTAATAAGGTGGCTTTGACAGTTAATTTTTTTTTTTAAACAGCAAGAATAAAGAACCCTAACACAATAGAATCAATTGTGCATAAAAGAGTTTACAGGATGACATGGCTCTAAATAGAACTGTTACTTTGTGTAAAAAACCTTAAAAGAGAATGTACTTAGAATGTACTTTTGGAGCAAAATATTATGCAAAATTATTACAACCATAGTGTAAACTAAGCTGTACTAAACTGTAAAATGTCACATCCATAGAAGGCCTTTTTTCCCCAGAAAAGTACTGTAACAAGAGAGGAATATTTATTTTCATTATGTGGTACATTATTATGTGTCAGGATTAGCGGGTATTTAAAATTAATGATTTTATTTTTAGAACTTTCAAAAAAAGATCCATGACACAATGGAGTTGCTGCTTCTGTACAAAATCAGTTCCTTAAAATGAGGTGGTGGCTTGTACATCCAGACTCTTGTTAGGGATTCCTGGGATATTTCAAATTTGTCATTTACCACAAAATCACCAGCAATTATATCAAGTAGCAGCACCAAGCCACCAACTCCCTTAAGTGTATTAGAGTGCAAATCTACCATCAACTCAAAAGGGGCAGCAAAACCATATCAGTAAAGGTACAAACAAACACTGGTAAACTGTCTCTGGATAGAACACTTCTATCCAGAAGAGCAAACTGACCCAGTCAGCCCTTTAATGGCGCTTCACATTATCTGCCGTCTCTGTAATACCCTGTATTTTAGAAAGCTGGAAAATAACTATAATTTATGACAGAATTACCACAGCAGGCAGGAATAAATAAGTATTCAGTTCGCTGTTACTGGTAAGTTCCATTCTTTATTGTGGTGCGTGTGGCTTAAGGAAACCGCATAAATCTCTGGATTTTTGCATAAAACATTTTGTTTAGTGTTTAGGCTACATGTCGGATACAAAAACAGAACACACACACACACAGGGGGGAAAAATGAAAGGGACACTGAAACAGAGGAACTATTTTACAATGTTTTCGTTCATTAAAACGTACATTAAAAAGTATTTTTAAGCGAGGTTACAACAGGTTACATCGTTACGCCAGGTGGCGACAAAACCGAACAATTTCTTTTTAGAATTTTAGAAATTTCCTTGCTGGAGTAACACTGCTTAATAAACATTTGTTCTTTATTAACTTTGTTTGTTGTTATGTTTTCTTTCTTTCTTTTTTTTTTAAGTTTGTTCTCTGTACAGTTCGTTCTCTGTGCAATAAAAATACACAATATATTCTGCATTCCTGAACGTTTCATTATCACACCTTCCCCCACAAGCTGATTGGGATATGATCTTTATCCTTTCAATTCGCATTTTTCATTTATTTTAAAATAAATAAATATGAAGAAATCTGTACAGAGTCGGAGCAAATAAGCTCGAAACAGACATGTATTAAGCTGTTCTGGTACAGCAGAGACTGATTCAAACACTGTTAAAAACTCCTAAAAGTGAAAATTCTTGTGACTTCTGTGTCTTTTTTCTGTAGTATCAGTCACAAATTTTAATACATCATTCTAAGCTAAGTGCTGCTGAGCCAGGAAGTGGGCCACACAATCCCAAAGAAAAGGAGTGCTGACACATGTCGCCCCTGAGGCATTACCAGATCCCTCTTTTAGAACTGAAGTTCAAATCTGCCCCTGTAAAAGGCGAATCTGAACAAGAAGTATTCATAGGGAGCTTCATAAAATGGGTTTCCATGGGTGTGTGCTGCAGTCACACCAGATAACTGAGGCAATGCCAAGTATGTGCTGGATGGTGTACAGCTAAACACCACTGAACTCTGGAATAATGAATCACGGTTTACCATTATCCTCTCTCAAGGATGAGTTTGGGGATGACAGTATAAAGCTACTTGACCAAATTTATGTAACAACTATAAAGTTGGTCAAGGAGGAAAAAAAAGGTCTGTGGCTGTTTTCCCTGCTTTAGTTCCACTGAAGAGACACACTTTGTGGAAACACTTCAGAGAAGGTCCTTGTCTATTTTAGCATGGCAAAAACAACACTAGACACACACTTTGGACATATTCCTAATTTTTGTAAAAATATTAATTTGTTATTATTTATTGCATTATATTAATATTAATATTTGTGTTGCATATATCATTTTGTAATTCACCAAACCATATTCAGAGCTTCTAATTATTGGTTGGTGTCCACTGGTGAGATCTAAAATGAAACTTAGAGCTTTTTGGCTTTTTGTGTTTATTAAACTGGCACATATGTGATTATTATTTCTGATTCCTGGTATACTAAGATCTGCCACCAGGTGCCGCTGCACAACAAGCACAACATGACCAAGAACACAACAAATCTCAATAGCAACGCACTG